ACTTTTGAACATGAAATGTAATCTGAACCTTCAGTGGAAATACTTACAGATGCTTCAGTGAAGATTTTCTAATACAACCTGTAGGTTGTGCTAGGTAACTAGCAGTTTAATGTATTAAAACTTTTTCAAAATCAGATCATAAGTAATAAATTCTGCCTGTCACACACATGAATTTGTGTCCTTAATTTTCCCAAAGATTAATTCATTTCTTAATTCATTCAGCACATATTTGTTGTGTACATAAAGTCATCCAGTCACTGGGGATTCGAAGGTGAATAAAACATAAATTTTCCCTGGAAGGCAGTCATCACCTAGAGGGAAGAAACAAATAAGGAGATGCATTGTAATAACTTTAGGTAAGTAGGAATATGTGAACAAAGTAGTACAGTAGCCTAGGAGCTGAAGCCCCAGAATCTTCCTGGGAAGTCACATAACTAAAAGTGACATTTGTGCTGAGTTTTAAATGATGAGTAGTCATCCTCTAGGATTTCTAAATGTTAGTTTTCCCCACCAAATACATGATACCTTCTCAAACCTAGGTGTGAGATCTGAGGATTTGTGTAAATCTTTCAGCCCAGACCCTAAAGGTCCCAATACAAATTATTCCAAAACTTGATAAGCAATTATCAATGACTTCTTTTTTGTTTGTTTTGTTTTATTGTGTTATGTTAATCACCATACATCATTAGTTTGTGTTTTTTTATTATGTTATGTTAATCACCATACATTACATCATTAGTTTTTTTTAATAATTTTTTTATTGTTATGTTAACCACCATACATTACATCATTAGTTTTTGATGTAGAGTTCCATGATTCATTGTTTGCGTGTAACACCCAGTGCTCCACGCAGAACGTGCCCTCTTTAATACCCATCACCAGGCTAACCCATCCCCCCACCCGCCTCCCCTCTAGAACCCTCAGTTTGTTTTTCAGAGTCCAGACTCCCAAGTGTGACAGTATTTCCTTAGATTTAAAAAATAATGATAATAGGGGTGCCTGGGTGCCTCAGTCATTTAAGCATATGACTCTTGGTTTCAGCTCAGGTCATGATCTCAGGGTCCTGGGATCGAGCCCTGCTTTCAGGCTCCACGTTCAGCGGGGAGTCTGCTTCTCCCTTTCCCTCTTCCCCTCCCCCTACTCTTGCTTGCTCACTCTATCTCTCTCAAATAAATAAATCTCTAAATAAATAATGACCAAAAATACATGATTCTTTTGAAGTATATTACAAAAAAACCCTAAAGTACAAAATGTTCATGTTTCATGCTTTCTAGAAATGACAGTAATTTAACATGTTAGCACTTATGTGATGTCTTAAAATGTAATGAGTAAGTCCTTTAGGCTTACAGTGCTCAACTTACTTCTTAGTCACAAATACCCTTATCTTGTATCTGAGCTTAGCCACCATTCTCTATTAACTCCCCAGATTACCTGTTTATTCCAAGAGGTTTAGAGTTAAGATTGTAAGAGTATAGCTAGGATTTTGAGAAACATGATTCAGTTCTTATTATGTGCTTTTGGTTAAATATGTATATACTTGTCATATTGTCTTAGTACATTCGTATTTTAAAGTTTGATATATAAAACAAAAATATTTAGGGAAGCTCTGCTATTGAACACAGTGACAGAGAAACACACATGTAAAGAAAAATACCTGAAAATATCCCAACTGTGGACATTAAAATACACTTTTTTAGCCAAGGTTCTCATTTTATATCATAGACCCACTAGTTGTTGCTAAGAGTAAGTTAAAAGAAGAACAATTATTTACCCTAAACTATCAGACAAGTATAATATGGATAGACAACAGATGGCCTTCTAGAAATTAGTCAGTAATACCTGTGAGCTTTTATACATGCCAGGCATTGTGCTAAGCATTTCAAAGGCATTGACCCATTTAATCCTCACAACAACCAGTGAAGTTGGTCCTAATAGAATCCTTATTTTACTGATGGATTAAATAACTTACCCAACTAGTAAGTAGTAGAGCTGAGATATTTGTGGGACTCTACCAGTGGTACTAGCTAGCTAAATGTGATGAAAGTAATTTGCTAAATTGTAGAGAAATAATTTCCAGAAATTGTATTACTCCTTCCAAATTTAAGCATTTGATATCAGGCAAGCAGAAGTAGGTCTGATTTTGTATGTTCTTGTGTATGTTGTTTTGTATTTATTGGCATTAGAGTAAATATGTTTTTACGTAGACATGGCCCTTACAGACCTTAGGAAAAGGTAGCTAAATTGGGGGGTAAAATTAGCAACAATGTGTTATGTCCTTTTTAAATCTGAGAACGTAAAATAGGTTTTACTTTCCTAAAAAGATAGATGAGACTAACTTCTGGAAACACAGAGCGGGGGAAACAGCCTAGGTCAGTGGTTACTAGCACTGGCTGTTAGTAGCACCAAGCCCTACTTGGTAACCCTGTCTTTTATCTAATTACTCTAGTGTGAGCTTGGGGATGTTGACGTCAATTTTCTCCTTTGTTAAATGAAGATGATAATACCTGTCTCAGAGACTTTTTGTGAGAATTTCATGACAGCGCATTGTAAATCGCCTGGAAAGTGTCCAGTATGTGCTATAGGTATTGACTTTCATCATTGTCACTGTTGCACAGAAACTTCAGTGTTGCTAAGAGAATACATATGAAGTATTCTCACCTCACAGAAAAAAAGGTAACTCTGTGAGGTGATGGATGCTTAAAATAGCTTGATTGTGGTCATTTCATAATTCTCTATATATCAAATCATCATGTTGTACACCTTAAATAGATACAATTTTTATTTATACTTCAATACAGCTGGGGGAAAAACCAAAAGAACTTGAAGATCTCAGTGCATAAATAATAATAATATCAGCCATTTTAAATTCTTTGAAGAATTAGATAAGGTGAATAAGCAGTTTTTAAAAAAGTAACTTTAATGTGAAAATTAGAAGAGGGGAAAAGAGGACAGCATTCAATCACTTTAACTATTTGGTCTCATCTGCTCATGCTTCAAAGGTAAAGGTTCGAATTTGATGAGATCAGTTGCTTGGCAACTTTTCAGAATGGTAATATTCCCCATTAGCTTTCCCTTTTGCCG